TTTTTCTTTTCCCTGCACCTTCAGAATTTTTTTTAAAAGCTTTGATATAACAGAACAAGCAATAATGGCGGGCTGACATTCTGTATTTGTCAGTGCTTGTTACTTGCATATGTTTAATTTTAAAAGCATCTCAAAGTATTTGATCGAGATGGGGGTAATTAAATGGCTATTGACATTTAAATTATCAGTTATTTCAGATGATATCCTTGGTATGCATGCATGAAATTCTGACCAAAAATCGATTGGTTTAGCAATACCATTTGTGTAAGATACCAGATGTTTAAAGCTCTTTTGAAGGCTTTAGTATAGAGAGGTTACTGAAAAACAACATAAAATTCGCAGTTACTCCTTTATTCATAAAAATGAAGTATTTAAAATACCACTTTAGAAATTACATAGTAATTCAAACATGAAGTCCTAATAAATTATAATCTTTCCTTAAATTACAATGGTAATACGAAAATGAAATGGTGTTTATAATCCTACTGTTTTGCTCCGACTGGGCTAATGAAGATGGGCATACGCCATGCAGTGTGCTATGAGAGAAATTTTGTGTGGAAAGCCACGCTACAGCCCACTCTTTTATCAAATTCCAACTGCCAAGGGATCTTTTACATGTACACCAATGTGTACACTGGAATTCGTCTTTTCGTAAAATCCGAATGACTAGATAGCTGTCCTCATCCCTGTACCACTGATCAGGGGAAACCATGCCAGAAATATGGATATATTGTACATTGTATATTACATAGCTAATGAAATATTTAAATATTATACAATATTAACAATTCATTATGTAAGAGCTAAATCTGACTAATCACAGGGTTTTATTTTGGCTTCAAATGATGTATAAATTATTCTTTAAACATTTATTCACATAACACGGCTATAATCAACTCCCTAGATCATCAGATGGCACAGATGTAACCAGATTAAAATACAATCTCCATTTAATGATTTAATTTAATAATGCAATCATCATTTAAAAGCAAAGCTTAGTCTCGATTAACAATGCTACAGTCATAAACACTATTTGCCAGATCTTGTCAAAAATTAATTCAAACATCGCTTCAAATAAAGTAATTTGAATAAAATTTTCAATATATTAATTTAATTTTGAATGATCTATTTCGGAACAGCCAACTCTTACCTAAATTGTGTATAATGCATCTTTGAAATTAAGAGTAATAAATACAACTTAAAAAACCCATCAAAATTGAAAACACTAGGACAAAATAAAAATACCAAGTTAATAAAACAAATTACATTCTTTGTTCACAAATTTATCATAATCGCATCAACAAAGCAACAAAACAAAGAATATTACAACAATATGAAGAAGAGTTTATAAGGCTTCAATAACACAATTTTATCACAATGTCAACAAATTACCATTACACAACTGTACGTGCGCACAAAAAAGAGGTTAGACATCTGTGCTCCAGCAACAACAGTCTCAAACTGATCCAAAGTAACCAAAAGTAGCGAATTCTTAAATTTCAAAATTAGAAAAAGGGATAATGCTTCCTATTGTTTTTTAACTACTGAGATCAATCAATCATGTAATAATATTTAATCTTAAACTTACATTATGCAAGAGCTAAATCTATCTATGTTATCTAAATTATTAATTAGACATTAATTAACCTATCCAGACCATAATCAACTCTAGATGGCATCGCTAGCCTGCGATCTTAAGTGAATTATGAGCCGATTTTAGGGCTGTACGATATTGCAAAAAGGGACGATATCGATATTGGCATTTTGTTCAACGATATATAGTTAAATATCGCGATATTTAATAATAATGTCACTTTGCTATTAAATTAAATATAAATGCATTAAAGCTGTGACTACAATGTTAGTAAGACTTGTGGGTAAGAATTGCTTTATTTATACACTTTAAAGATTGCTTTTTTTATAATATAGATTTATTAAAATGAACAAAACAACATCCTTTTTGGATAAAAATTAAATACAACCGCTGATGTTTAAAAAGTGTCTACTTGTGACCTTGTGTTACAAGAAAATTCTCAAATATCACCTGTAGCGGAAGTAAGTGGATGCGGTCTTCAAGTCTTGTATTGTAAGTTCAAACAGTTTAACAAATACTAAATGATCCAGACTATCTTCCATTCAAGCATTCGATTGGCTGCGGTATTCCTGGCCTGACGCTGACAGTAATCTATTTATAAATCGTTTTATTCTTGCTTTCAGAAATTAAGTTTTGTAGGGTTTTCTAAAAATATGACAACCTATTTATAGCCTGGTAATTAGCCGTGGTAGTGGGAAATTTCAGGCGTTTAGTAGGCCTAAGCTTTACATGTAGTAACAACTGACAATTTATTGTCGACTAAAAACAAAGTAAAAGTAACGCATACACGATGCAGTGAAATTTACTGAAAAACGGCTGCGGACACTGCGCAAGTGTTTTCAACATTTAAAGATTTTCAAAACATTAGTTTTATTATAGTTTATTGCCGTCGGCTAATTTCCACTGCTGTATTGTGTATTTATTATCTATTTTTATGATAATTTTTTTCGATATTTGAAGTTTTTGGCGGTATTGGATAAACCACTATATCGACGACGATTTTTGGCCACATGATCATGATATCGTAGTTGGGTCTGAAAATACCATATCGCGATAAATGACTATATCGAGAATATCGCACAGCCTTACAATAAGGGGTGGGTGATATCTTGTATTTCAGATATTTCAGTGTTCATATATTATGGGAATATGGAACAAGCTGCCAGTTGGGGAAGATATAAACGTGTATCAACGTGTCGACGTGTATCAATTTTGATAAAAAAACAACATTTGATTTAATTTACTGACAATATTTGCAGATAAACCAAAGCTGTCTCACTAGGTCCAGAGGGGTGCGTATGTTTAATAAGTTCTAGTACTACCAGTAGTATAAAATTAACTTATTTTCAAGACGTTACATGCATTAATAATGAAATTAAGTAAAACATATTTTACATATAATTGTTTTACGCATAACGGGTGACTTGATTCTAATACACACACTTACATCATTTGTGGTGCTAGCTGTTGACTTGATATCTGCCTCTTCTTCAGCAAAAACGAACTGGAAGTAAATTGTAATTATTTTTATTATTGATCACATTATTGTATTATAGATCAAGATCAGCACTTAAACATTTTATATTATTGAATAAAAAGCTGTTGAATTATATTCCGTTTTATTTTAGAAATGAATTAAAAACATTATCAGTGATAAAATTGTTTTTACTTACATCAATGACTTCATCAATCTTAATCAATTCGTACGACTCTCCTTCGTAAACAACAGCCATTGCTTCTACTGGAAATAACTTGTGGTAGGTCTATTTCGCGCATGCGATGTAAAACATAATTCATCGTCCAATGACAGCTGCTGCAGGGTCAGGCATGGATCGTATGATCGTATATAATATTATATACGATCATACGATCCATCATATATAATCCATGGCGTGATGTCTGCGATATCACTTCTGTGAAAGCAGACGTTAAAGCACCAGGTAGTAGTAGTAGTATGGCGTGGGTTTAATTGAAACTAGAATATCGCGCTTAACCAGTTGTGTTGTTATAAAGTCATCGTTCGTTAGTGTTCAATAACATGGCCGGAATTCTAATAAAACTGCATGACGCATTTCAAGACACTACCCTAGACGATATTAATGAGTTTTGTAAGGATAATCTCAATGTCACAACTTGTTTAGTATTTGGCGTTTGTGTTGGATTATGGTGGCTAATGCGAAAACCCCGAGGGATCCCCCCGGGTCCAAGATTTACGTTACCTATACTAGGAGATCTGTTGTCTCTGGACGGAGGAGACGGTGATGTGAGAATAGCTATAAGACAACTCAGGAAGAAACATGGAGACATATTTAGCGTTTATTTTGGACCGAGATTATTTATATTCATCAGTGGTTATGATTTGATTAGAGATGCTTTGGTGAAAAGGGCCGACGTGTTTAGTAACAGACCATCTTTGTTTTTGAACGATTCTGTCAGCCAGAAAAAAGGTAATCAAGGATTCACGTCCACAATTCGCGCGCGTGTGTGTGTGTGTGTGTGTGGGGGGGGGGTGTCTCAAGGTGGCTAAGGGGGTAAGACGCTGGCTCGCTAGCCTGGAGGTCGGGTGTTCGATCCCTGCATTGACCGAGAAAGTTCATCCAGAATTTCCGGCGTGGTTCCCCCTTTTAAGTGATGCGGGTTATGGCAGGTAAGGTTACTGAAATGGACATTTGGTTATGGCAGGTAAGGTCTACTGAAATGGACATTGGGTTATGGCAGGTAAGGTCTACTGAAATGGACATTAGGGTTATGGCAGGTAAGGTCTACTGAAATGGACATTAGGGTTATGGCAGGTAAGGTCTACTGAAATGAACATTAGGGTTATGGCAGGTAAGGTCTACTGAAATGGACATTAGGGTTATGGCAGGTAAGGTCTACTGAAATGAACATTAGGGTTATGGCAGGTAAGGTCTACTGAAATGAACATTTGTGTTTTGGAAGGTAAGGTCTACTGGAATGGACAAATATTTGGATTCCATGCAAACTTTTCACAATGTCCTCAAACCGCGAATACTAGTATCAAACAATTATAAAATGTTATTTTCAGGGATCGGTCTTGCCTCGGGTCAACTATGGAAAGATCAAAGAAAATTTGCTGTAGAAACTTTAAGAGAATTTGGTTTTGGAAAATCGATACTTGAAGACAAAATTAATGAAGAAATCGGATATTATGTTGAAATTATTGGAAAACAAAAGGGTAAACAATTTAACATGTGTCGCTTAACCCAAGCCTCCGTTTCCAACGTGATTTCATCTTTAGTTTTTGGACAAAGATTTGAGTATGAGGATCCAATATTTAAAGAATTTCTGAAGAAGCTGGCAGAGAATTTCGCAGCGGTTGGCTACACGTCTGTGTTGAATTCCCTACCATTTCTTCGGTTCCTACCTGGTGATTTGTTCAAGTTTAAGAGAACTGTTCGTAATATTGCGACCGTTGAGAAAAAGTTGATTGAATCATCTATTAATGATCATGTGAAGAATTATGATGAGAACAACACCAATGATTATATCAGTAGTTATATTAAAGAAATGAAACGAGTTGAAAAAGTTGGTGAAGAATCCAATATAAATAGTAAGTATGCTGATCTATCTTTGTTTGAGAGGGAGAGAGAGAGAGAGAGAGAGAGAGAGAGAGAGAGGTATAACATCCACTCGACACAACACAAACGAGGTCATTTCGGGACTAACATATGGTTCAATTTTATTTCAAAACCGGTGGATATCTTTGTTAGAGGGTTGGGTGGTTGAATAGTTTTTTTTTAAAAACAATATTTTTATTCATATATAATATTAATGCAAATGGGTGCATATACATAGTTCAAAAGGCAAACACGTGCATATTATATAAATATGATAAAATAAGGGCCGGCGGAATCAATTCCTAGGACTTTAGGCGCCCCTCGTTTTTTCCTAATTTCTTATTTTCCTGGAGATCTAGGGACGTTTTGCTAATGAAATTACTCAGCAATGTGTCTATATCCTTTACCATGCAGCACATTCGATGGTGATTTTCTGTGATGCTAAACTTGACAAATATATGCATAATAATTCCAAGGTTGTGCTTGCTCTAGAGGTCACAGTTGTTATACGAGTTTGATGAAACTGAGAATGTATGTTTATAACCGGAAGATCCCGACATTTGTAGCTTGTGGACTCTCTAGACCTCACAGTGTTTATTTCATTGTCAAAACCGTTCAAATATATCACAGAAAATCACCATCGAATGTGCTTGAATGGTAAAGGATTTAGACACATTGCTGAGTAATTTCATTGGCAAAACGTCCCTAGAACTCCAGGAAAATAAGAAATTAGGAAAAAACGAGGCTCGCTATTTTCGCTGTGTGTTATTTCTTAATTTCCTATTTTCGAGTTGATTTTGGCTTGTATAGCGTGTTGTCGCCTCACATTTTGTCGTAACTTCTACTTTTCGACTTTCGTGTTTTGAAGAGGTGAAAAGTAGAAGTTATGAATGGTAGTTATAGGCTTCGATATTTATCAGTGTATATTCTGATTCCTGCATTATATTCAAGGCGTAATCATCCCTGTACATCCAATTAAATTTATATTTTTGTCATTTTCAGAGGAGAACTTAATTAAAGCTATCGGAGATCTTTTTGCGGGTGGTACAGAGACAACATCAACAACTATTTTATGGACGATTCTCTACTTCCTGCATCATCCAGACAAACAAACAAGATGTTACAAAGAGATTCAAGATATTATTGGTTCAGGTCGTCTACCATCTATGAAAGACAGACCATCTATGCCATATACTCAAGCTGTTGTGCATGAAGTCTTGAGAATTGTAAATATTGGTGTATTTGGGCTGCCGCACTCTGTTGACGAGGATATAATATTCCACGGTTATCATATGCCAAAAGGGACTGTAGTCATTCCCAATCTTGATTCAGTTCTTTCAGACGACAAAATCTGGGGAGATCCTGATGTTTTTCGACCCGACAGATTTCTGGATGAAAATGGACAACTAGTAAAAAGGGAGGAATTTATCCCCTTTTCTATGGGTAAAAACATATATATTACTGTATTGAGTACACAAACGATGCCATGCGTTAATAAGATCATTGATTCAAGTGCCGTGATTTTGATACGTGGGTTTTCTCCAGATTCTAGCCGCCCCACCCCCACTAATAACGATCCGTACACACGATCGTTGTCTCCGGATTCTCGACGCCCCCACCCCCACTGTTAAAGATCCCTACACACGTGGGTTTTCTCCGAATTCTCACCGCCCTTGCCCACTGTTAAACATCCCTACACACGTGGGTTTTCTTCGAATTCTCACCGCCCTTGCCCACTGTTAAACATCCCTACACACGTGGGTTTTCTCCGAATTCTCACCGCCCTTGCCCACTGTTAAACATCCCTACACACGTGGGTTTTCTCCGGATTCTCGCCCGCCAACCCCCACTGTTAAAGATCCCTACACACGTGGGTTTTCTCCGAATCTACCGCCCTTGCCCACTGTTAAACATCCCTACACACGTGGGTTTTCTCCGAATTCTCACCGCCCTTGCCCACTGTTAAACATCCCTACACACGTGGATTATCTCCGGATTCTCGCCCGCCAACCCCCACTGTTAAAGATCCCTACACTCGTGGGTTTTCTCGGAAGTCTTGCCGCGTCCACCTCCACTGTTAAGGATCCCTACACACGTGGGTTTTCTCCGAATTGTCGCCGCCCCACCCCACTGTTAAAGATCACTACACACGTGGGTTTTCTCCGAATTCTAGCCGCCCCACCCCACTGTTAAAGATCCCTACACATGTGTTTTTTTTTCTCCGGATTATCGCCGCCCCTAACCCCACTGTTAAAAACCCTTCAAACACAAGCGAATTTCTGAAATGAACACACCATATGTTAGTCCCAAAACAATGCCCCAATCTCGCTTTATTGTATTGTATTTCAGAAGAACAAATATTGCTATCCTTTATAAATACAGTCATGTAAAGTGAACTAATGACATGGTGTCAAAGTTCTTTTAGAATTAAAGATACATTATGGGAGATTAGATAAAGAGTTCACTGTTCTCGTTATAATTGTTAAAAAAGTAGATAACGCAAATAGAAGATGTTGAAAAATTCGATCAAATATTGCTCCACTATGAACCGATAAGTCGGTACGATAAAAAAACCAACATAGTCTCGGTCATCCAATTTTGGATTTAATCATCAATGAGCGTTGAGCAGCAGATTAAATTACCAGTGAAAGTCCGAAAAATAAGTTGACATTGTGAGTTGATTATGGTTTAGATAAGTTAATTAATGTCTAATCTATAGTTTTTATAACATATCAGGCCTAAAGAAAGGCCTTCAATTGATCGATTTAACTCTTGCATAATGTATGTTTAATATAAAGCAACCATTGTTTCTATTTATAGGAAGAAGAATCTGTCTTGCAGAATATATGGCTAAAATGGAATTATTTTTATTTATGACAACCTTGATGCAAAGATTTGAATTTAAACCAGTGGATCCTGATAATTTACCAACATTAAAGGGTGTTTTTGGAATCACCCACGCTCCTTCTAAATATGAGGTTCGAGCCATACCCAGATAAATGACGATATTATAGAATCAACTGAAAGTTGTTAGTTGACTATTGTAGTTAAATATTGTTTCTCTCAGTATTACATATACCCCCCCCCCCCAAAAAAAAAAAACAACAAAAAAACCCCAAATAATAGTATGAATTGAACAACTGTATCATTATTAATTGTTTAATCACTGTCTAATATTTTCGGCCACAAGGGCATCATACATAACAATATTACGTTATTGTTATTGTTATGTTATGTCCTGATTATGCCCCTGTGGCAAAAAATATTAGACATTGGTTAAACAATTAATAATGATATAGTTGTTCAATTCATTCTATTGTTTTTTAGTTTTATATCTTTATGAAAATATCTCTCCTTTTATTCTCCATATTCTTTCAAGGTATCTTATTCTTACCCACTGTAAAGTCATCCCGTCAGCCTGATTAAAATAGGGGGGTTGGATTGCTGAATGGTTAGCGTGCGCGCGCTGTATCATAAAGTCTGTCATTGAGTCGACTGGCGTGGTTTCGAATCCCCGGTTGTACGTGGCAAGGAGTAGGGTCGCCTGTCCAACTTCGTGGGTTTTCTCCGGGTCCTTCGGTTTCCTCCCACTGCTAAAGACCCCTACGCACAAGCGAATTATGTAAATAAAATTAAACCATATGTTGGTCCCGAAATAACCTAGTTTGTGTCGAGTGGACGTTAAACCCCATTTCTCTCTCTCTCTCTGATTAAAATATAGATCTATATTTCGGTTCGTTTTTTTTGTACTTTCGATAGCCTACACTACATAATGATCTGACCGGTTGTAGTGGAAGGTCATGTCAGAGGTCATACGAGCGGCTTTTGACCCTATGGCGTCTGACAGTTGATTAATCAATCAGCGGCTTGTCGGTTACCCACAGTTCCGTGAACGGCACGCCAGACCATTTCATTGGCTAATCGATCACATTATCCAGCACGCGGCTTATATACCAACTCTTCCAGGTCTTGGTGTAGTAAAGATAAGTAACACGAAATTTTGAACTATAAAAAAACGAAACGAAATAGGATCTGTGTTTTAACCAGATTGTCCTCCCGGTGAACGTGTTGATTGCTTTAAAATATCACCGCTAAAAATTTACATTGACATTTTATATCTGGGCAATCGGGTGTATATCCAGGTCCGTCAGAAGGTAATGGGGATTAAAGTCCCGTCAACACTATACGTCAGAATGTAATGTGAATTAAAGCCCCATCAATGATAGCATTGAAAGTTTTAAACGCAATTTAAAAACACACCTTTTTGTTGACTACTATGGCTTTTAATGCAGGTATCCGAGTTCATTGTATACTGTTCTAGGCGCTGTTTTATTTTATTCTTTACTACTTTTAGCTATTTTAATTTGTTTATTACATGTCATATTTTATTATACTCGTTACTACCATATTTTGATTGTTATCGTATGCCATTTTAATTTCTTTTATCATCCATTTAATTTTATTTTATTTTTCTATTTGTGATGTCCACAAAATGTTAACTGCACCATTGAGCAGTATTTTATATTGATAATAGGCGCATTATAAATAAATTATTATTATTATTATTATTATTATCAACACCATACATCAGAATATAATGGGGGGGGGGTAATGTCCCGTCAGCACACCATACTTGTAACACTATCTTAGTGATAACAGAAATCAGTTTAGTAAATATAGGATTTATTTACATCAGGTATATAAAAGAGCTACAGTTACATACATACAACAACAATACGGGAACTTAAACTCTATAGGAACAAGACTACAACTGGAACACATATAACTATATTAAATCCACCATTCTGTCCCTCTGCCAAGGCAGCGACTGCACTGCGTATTCCCTTTGAAGTCATTATCATGTCATAGTATGATGCACTGACCACTAGTACATTTCCTTTGAAGTCCTGTCGAGTGTTGCACAAAGATCATGTGCAGCCCGTAAATTACATATTGAATTAATTACATGTTTAATTACAACACAGACAATCGTGACTTGAGAACAGTGCATACAGAATTAAAAGGTCAATATCATATATTATTATCAAAACAGCTGGAGGTCAACAAGTTCAATTTGGTAAAAGTTATAGAGTACTTTGTTATATACGTCAGAATGTAATGGGGATTAAAGTTCCGTCAACACCATACGTCAGAATGTAATGGGGAATGGGGATTAAAGTCCCATCAACACCATACGCTCTAATATTGAGACTGATATATAGTCAGTTGCCATGGTTACCCGTACAATGTCTGAATAAATGAAACAGGTAATACTGACCATGTCCGAGTCCAAATTAGGTGCTGGGAGTGCTACCGTTAAGAATCATCCCTGGAAATCCAGAATGAATATGGAAACATAGGCATTCATTTCAGCAGGCATCAAATTAAACAATAAAATTAAAACGGAAAAAAAGCTGCTCTACAGAAAAGTTTATTATCACCTGTTTTATATATTTTAAATGTCTCCCTTTCTCACATTTCTTAAGTCTTGGTCCCTTTACTTGAATCTTTGGGACCGGTAATTGATGAGTTGTCCCCGACATCATCAAACATCTTGACACCACTCTATAAACAATAACACTTCAGTCTGGCTTGCCACTACCGTTACGATGGGATTGTCCCTTGCTACGTGCAGAGCCGTTCGAATACGTTTCGATACGATCAAGACGATTGCTACGACTGACCTCAATATATGATAAGACCTGACAGGGTCGCCACGATTACTCCACGATTTCAATCGTAGCACGAATCTTGATAATAAGAACCTACTATGTAATGTTTCCTTATAATCGCACGACAAGATGCATCTTAAGACAGTAAAGACGTGGTGATGAGTGTCGTATACAATGCAGAATATGATGTCTTACTGAAAATGTCATACGACGCTTGCACAAATGACAAGATGTATCTTAAGACAGTAAAAGTGTGGTGATTAGTATCGTGTACAATGCAGGTTATGATGTATCTATAGACAGTAAAGTATAATCCCTGGTGGAATGTTGGAAAATGTTACATGGCACTTGTTTTGCAAGGTATTGAGGCGGGTGGGTCGACTGGTTTTAGATCATGAGTAATACCGGTGCAATTAATTTCGTCAATCACACATGGCAGTTAGGAATAGGATGGTCTGTCCCCACCCCTAACACTTCCTCATCCTCATAACCCTATTCTCAAATACACCCTCGCAAGCTAACTCTGCCCGAACTTAGTTAGTTAGTGTTAGTTGTATTTTACGTCCGCTTCCACCGAGGTGATATCGCAGACAAGTGACCGATTTTGAGATTATAAGTACGCAGTAAAGGTACCCCCCCCCCCCCCTTAAAAAAACAAATAATAAAAAAAGGTCAGTAGCCTATATATCATGTTTTTTGGTCTATTTTGTCTTTTTTTCATCAGAATTGAACCGTATGATCTTTTGTTGATTATTGATGCGAAACACACAACTAGTTTCTATGTTTCTATTGTTTACCACCTCATTTCACACTTGACTGAGCTTGTTTACACAGTAACTGTATGGAGCTTCATTACCGACACAATTCTAACTCGTTCATATAAAAAAAGAAAATGCGACATTAAATTAATGGAAATAGAACAAAATTTAAACCAAACAACACTATTTAACACTGCTGTTATTTTTACATCTGTAAATAGCCAATTTACGATATACAAGCAAGAGGATACATGCACTGAAGTCCGCGTATTAATGTATGCCTTACTGGACAAAGTAACAATTATGTCGTGATCTTCGATCCATAAACATGACCTACAATCAAGAACAATAATAAGACTGGAATAGTCGTTCGTTCGTTTCTGGAGGTTAACGGTGTGTTAAAACACTTTTATAGTGGAGATATGTTGTTGGACGAGTCCATTACCCATTAATGTTACAAGACCCCTCCTGGTTAAATCATTATGGTAACGAAATATACAATTTGTGATATATTATTACGGTACTTCTAACTAAAGTACGGTGTTAGTGTGGGTTTAACTGAAACTAGAATATCGCGCTTTAGTTAAAACTAGGTACCGACCGCTCAGTTGTGTTGTTATAAAGTCATCGTTCGTTAGTGTTCAATAACATGGCCGGAATTCTAACAAAACTGCATGACGTGTTTCAAAACATTACCCTAGACGATATTAATGAGTTTTGTAAGGATAATCTCAGTGTAACAACTTGTTTAGTATTTGGCGTTTGTGTTGGAATATGGTGGCTGATGCGAAAACCCCGAGGGATCCCCCCGGGTCCAAAATTTACGTTACCAGTACTAGGAGATCTGTTGTCCCTGGAAGGAGGAGACGGTGATGTGAGAATAGCTATAAGACAACTCAGGAAGAAACATGGAGACATATTTAGCGTTTATTTTGGACCGACACTATACATATTCATCAATGGTTATGATTTGATTAGAGATGCTTTGGTGAAAAGGGCCGACGTGTTTAGTAACAGACCATATTTGTTTATGAACGATTTTATCAACAAGAAAAAAGGTAATTAAGGATTCACGTCCACAATTCGTGGGGGTGGGGAGGGGGGGCCACGGTGACTAAGGGGGTAAGACGCTGGCTCGCTAGCCTGGAGGTCGGGTGTTCGATCCCTGCATTGCCCGAGAAAGTTCATCCAGAATTTCCGGCGTGGTTCCCCCTTGTCAGTGATGCAGGACGGACGGCCTGACAAGTCGCTCGGATGGGACGAAAAACTAAGGTCCCGTGTACAAATTGGCGTGCACTTGACAGTTGGAATTCGATATAAGAGTAGGCCGTAGTGCCGCTGTCCGGGAAAAATTTCCCTCACAGCGCACTGTATGGCGTATGCACGTCTTCATTAGCCCCGTACGGAGCAGAACAGTAGGACGTTAAACCTCATTTCATTTCATTTCCATAATTCGTGATTTGTTCTCGGAGATTTAAACAATATGTTATTCATCTAAATTTACAAAATTTATGTAATAAATACAGGATAAGATAGCAAGTTTTATCAGCTTATATAAAATCGCTTCCTTAAAATGGATCTTTAACAGATTTACAACTGGCAGTCATAATGTAAACACAAATATACATTATAAAACATATGTACAATTTAGATGATAATTTAGGATTACTTAAACATACATTATGCAAGAGCTAAATCTGTCTATGGCAGGTCTTTCTTTAGGCCTGAAATGTTATCTAAATTATTAATTAGACATTAATTAACTTATCCAGACCATAATCAACTCTAGATGGCAGCGCTAGCCTGCGATCTTAAGTGGACTGTGAGCCGATTTACTGCATAACTTTCCTTCTCGATTAAACGATTAAATGGATAATCGAGACTATGCTGTTTATCGTACTGATCGACTTTAGTAATGATGACCGAGGCTAGGCAGAAATTTCATTCGCTTAGTTCTCGGTTCATAGTGGATCAATTTGAATGAACTTTTCAGAAAATTGCCTTTACGTTATCTAGTTTTTAACTATTATAGTGAGAACTGCCAACTCGTTATCGAATCTCCCATAATGTATCTTTAAAGGATGTAAATCGCTAATATTCGGGACCTAGAAATTGACCCAAATGGATAGTAATGCATATAATAATGTAATATGACTGTATATAATCTGATTTACATTCAATCGTTCTATTTTTACTATGATTTCAAATCAATTATGGTCGGCGAAATACGCCAGATGTCTCAATCGAATGGCCATCTCTAGCGTCTGGTTATTCCAGTCTACACCGATAGTATTTATTGCGCATGCTCTCCAGATAAGAATACTTCTGAGATTCTTTTGATAATCGACAGCATGAATGGAAATGAACCATCTCAGCCCGGGTTGGGAAGTTAACTAGAACGTTAAACCCCATTTCATTTCATTAGAGGTACTGAAATGGACATTATGTTATGGCAGGTAGGGTCTACTGGAATGGACATTCGGGTAAGGTCTACTGAAATGGACATATATTTGGATTCCATGCACACTCCTCACAATGTCCTCAAACCGAATATCACAACATTATAAAATTTTATTTTCAGGGATTGGCCATGCCTCGGGTCAACTATGGAAAGATCAACGAAAATTTGCTATAGAAACTTTAAGAGAATTTGGTTTTGGAAAATCGATACTTGAAGACAAAATAAATGAAGAAATCGGATATTATGTTGAAATTATTGGAAACCAAAAGGGTAAACAATTTAACATGTGTCGCTTAACCCAAGCCTCCGTATCCAACGTGATTTCATCTTTAGTTTTTGGACAAAGATTTGAGTATGAGGATCCAATATTTAAAGAATTTCTGGAGACGCTGGAACAGAATTTCGCAGCGGTTGGTTCCACGTCTATGTTGAATTCCCTACCATTTCTTCGATTCCTACCTGGTGATTTGTTCAAGTTTAAGAGAACTATTCGTAATGTTGCGACCGTTGAGAAAAAATTGATTGAATCATCTATCAATGATCATGTGAAGAATTATGATGAGAACAACACCAACGATTATATCAGTAGTTATATTAAAGAAATGAAACGAGTTGAAAAAGCTGATGAAGAATCCAATATAAATAGTAAGTGTGCTGTATTATCTAGAGGGGGGGGGGGGGGTAAACGTCCACTCGACACAAACCAGGTCATTTCGGGACTAACATATGGTTCAATTTTATTTCAATAATTCGCTTGCGCATAGGGGTCTTTAGGAGTGGGAGGAAACCGGAGGACCCGGAGAAAACTCACGAGGTTGGATATCTTTGTTAGAGGGTTGGGTGGTGTCTAACCAGTGCCTGTTAGATCGTGAAGTCTGCCATGGAGTCGAGTGGTGTTTTTTTTGATTATAAACAATATTTCGTTTCAGTTTGCCTTAATGGGATTGGGGAACAAATATATAATATTAATACAAATGGGTGTATACACATAGTTAAAATGGCAAACAAGTGTATATTATATAAATATAATAAAATCAGGGCGGGTGGAAGCAATTCTTGATTGGAGGGCGGGGGGGGGGGGGGTACCATCCTAGGACTTTAGGCCAAGGCCCCGGGAGCTCCTGGGGATCTAGAGACGCTTTCTGGCTAATGAAATTACTCAGCAATATTTCTAAATCCCTTACCATGCAAGCACACTCGATGGTGGTTGGTTTACTGTGACGTTGAAATATATGCATAATAATTCTAAGGTTGTGGACACTCTAGAGGTCACAATCTTTATACGATTTTGATGAAACTGACAATGCACGTTTATAACCGGATGATCTCGACATTTGTAGTTTGTGGACTCTCTAGACCTCACAGTTTTTATTTCATTGTCAAAACCGTTCACATATATCACCGTTGCACCATAATTACGACTGAGTTCAAATTTCGTGAAAATCGGACCGAAACTGCCCGAAAAAATGGCCGCTACCTTTAAGAGCATGTAATACCCAGGTTGTGGGCCAGAGGTTCGCATTTTCATCCAATTTTGATATATCTTATAGGCCCGGGTATCTTTCGATATTGGCACGTATTGGACCAATATTACGTTTTTATTTTGTGGACCCTCCAGAGGTCACCATTTTTATCTTATTTCCAAAACCGTTAAAATTATCACTGTTACATCATCATTATGAATTTTCTGAAAATCGGACCGAAACTTTCAGTCAAATGCCATGACCCTCCTTTACGCAAATAGTGTAAAAGCATGTAATACCAAGGTTGTTGACCATCTAGAGGTCAGAAGTTTTATCCGATTGAACTTAAACGAGTATTTCTAGCTCTTGAATGAGTTCAATTTTGGTGCGCATTGGCCTCTTGTCTTTTAAGCAAAATATGAAATATGAATGAAGTTTGTTGACCTTCCCGAGACTACAATGTTTGCTCAATTCATGATATGAAACTCAAAGTACGTGTTAAGGATCAAAAGTTCTTGGATGAGTTCGACTTTGGTACGCAATAGACCTCACATTCTAGAGCTATAGCTCCTGCTTTTTTTCGCAAGATGTGAAATATGTATGCATTTTTAGGGCGTCCAGAGGGGCTTCAATTGTTGTCCCATTCTTATGAAACTTATCAAATATGTTAAAGTTAACTTTCAAGCAATCGTATTTTTCGGGCAGACGGGTAAAGTTAATATTTCACCTAGTTGGCAAAATAAAGTGCCCGAAATCTAATAACAGACTAAGTTTACATTTCTTTTAATTGAATACCACGAATTTGTACTGACTTGACAATAAATGGTCTGGAGTCACTCTGTGCGACATTGGTCTGGTCTGTGCGACATTGATTATGTTTTGTGAATGCAGCTGCAACAGTTGGATTGGATGGTTGGAATTCAGTTGAAAACCGATTGGAAACTTTGAAGTTGCTCAATTCACGGGTTAGAACAGTAGAAAAACGCATTTGCGGCGGTTAAATTTCCACAATTCTCTCGGGGAATTCGAGACCCCCATATCCCGCGACGATTGATTAGTTTGTTTGGGATTTTGGATTTAGGAAGAACACCTAAGTATGGTAGGCTATATTGGACCACATTGAAATATCTGTATTCACGGAATGGTCTAGCAGGAAAACGTGTTTGCTGCAGATAAATTATTTTCAAACATTCATGAAACTCGTACGCCTATGTATCATGGGATCATTTTATGCATACAGCTATAGATTTATATTGGTAAAAGGACATCGGCGAAACGCGAAACACCCTTCATAAAAGGCTTCGGGCTATTAAAAAATTATGTCAATCTCCAAATGTATAAATAAATGAATTTATTTATCGTTGATGTTATACATACGTATTTACATTCACTCATCGTCTTCTTTATATTATATATTGGTATACTTATTTAACAAGGACGTTATTTCCCAAATATCTATTTTATTTTTAAACGCTGGGGCATAAACGGCCTGACAATTAATTTGATTTGCGCAAACGAGTGAGGTGTTACATAGAAATAGAAACGTTTCTGTGACATTCAAATTTTCAAATTATTTTTAAGGGGAGGGGGAGGGGGTAAGCTCTAGCAGATGTCCGGCACCACCATCTGTGGGGGCAATTCAGGTTCCGCTCACGTTAAATTCATCGAGCCTGTACGCCTTTGCTTGCAACTGAGGGGTCTCGCAACCCAATGATCAGTATAGAGCATAATAGGGTTTTCTTATGAAAGCCTGCGTTCTGGAAGACTCACTTCTATTTTAAAATCAGACATCCTTGTATCTAACGGCATAATTACTTACGTGCAATAACCCGGGCAAAAGAGTACTTGCGGTCAAATTATTTGGGGGTTTAACGTCCTGCTGTTCTGCTCCGAACTGGGCTAATGAAGACAAGCATACGCAATACAGAGTGCTATGAGTGAAAGTTTGCCCGGACAGCGGCACTACGGCGTATCGAATTCCATATGTCATGAGATCTTTTACGTGCACGCCAATATGTACACGGGACCTCGGTTTTTCATCCCATCCGAACGACTAGACAGCTGTGCTTGTCAGGCCCTCCGTCCTGCATCACTGACAAGGGGGAACCACGCCAATGCAGGGACCGAAGACCCGACCTCCATGCTAGCGAGTCAGCGTCTTACCAACTTAACCACCGTGATCCCCCCATCGCAGATCGCAGCATGACCGCAGAGGCATGTGGGACTGTTAGCAACATGTCTTAGGAATTCGTGACCCTGCAGGATGTCATACCTGTATGTGTAGGATCGCATGTCCCTCGTCATTGAACCTTCTTAATTCGTGCTTTTTTTTCTCATAGAATCTTCTCGGTTTCACAGGGACAAATACAGATCCACAAGTTTAAATATGACATTTTTAAAGCACGTATTCCAGATGTTCAAAGCACGGATTTTGTATCTCGAGGCACATGTTAGAATAGACCCTGGCCCGACCCCAGACCGCTCTTGACATTCTGAAAACGAAATATAATAGTACGTAATGGCGACTGAATTAAAAATGGTGCAAAGAATTATGCGGCGAATGAGTATGCATACTCACTGTCACCACGCTCCTACTTGTATGCGTTGGGAAGTTCATCAGAGTATATTCCGATTCCTGCATTATATTCAAGGCGTAATCATCCCTGTACATCCAATTAAATTTATATTTTTGTCATTTTCAGAGGATAACTTAATTAAAGCTATCGGAGATCTTTTTGCGGGTGGTACAGAGACAACATCAACAACTATTTTATGGACGATTCTCTACTTCCTGCATCATCCAGACAAACAAACAAGATGTTACAAAGAGATTCAAGATATTGTTGGTTCAGGTCGTCTACCATCTATCAAAGACAGACCATCTATGCCATATACCCAAGCTCTTCTGCAGGAAGTTTTGAGAATTGCAAATATTGCTGTATTTGGGCTGCCGCACTCTGTTGACGAGGATATCATATTCCACGGTTATCATATGCCAAAAGGGACTGTAATCATTCCCAATCTTGATTCAGTTCTTTCAGACGACAAAATCTGGGGAGATCCTGATGTTTTTCGACCCGACAGATTTCTGGATGAAAATGGACAACTAGTAAAAAGGGAAGAATTTATCCCCTTTTCTATGGGTAAAAACATAAATATTACTGTATTGAGTACACAAACGATGCCATGCGTTAATAAGATCATTGATTCAAGTGCCGTGATTTTGATACGTGGGTTTTCTCCGGATTATCGCCGTCCCACCCCCACTGTTAAAGATCCCTACACACGTGAGTTCTCTCCCAATTCTCGTCGCCCTCACCCCACCGTTTAAAAAATATTTGTAATTTTAAGTCGGTACGATAAAAAAAACAACATAGTCTCGGTTATCCAATTTTGGATTTAATCATCAATGAGCGTTGAGCAACAGATTGAATTACCAGTGAAATCCGACACATAAGTTGACATTGTGAGTTTATTATGGTTTGGATAAGTTAATTGGTCGATTTAGCTTTTGCATAATGTATGTTTAATATAAAATATCCATTGTTTCTATTTGCAGGAAGAAGAACGTGTCTTGCAGAATCTTTGGCTAAAATGGAATTATTTTTATTTATGACAACTTTGATACAGAGGTTCGAATTTAAACCAGTAGATCCTAATCACTTACCAACATTAAAGGGTGTTTTTGGAGTAACGAACGCTCCTGCTAAATATGATGTTCGAGCCATACCCAGATAAATGACGAGATGACCGAATCAACTGAAAGTTGTTAGTTGACTATTGTAGTTAAATATTGTATCTCTCAGTATTAAATATCCAAAAAAACAATACAATAAATTGAACAACTATTAATCACTGTCTAATATTTTCCGCCACAGGGGCATCATCAGGATATAACATAACAATATTACCTCATCGTTAATGTTAATATTGTAATGTTATGTCCTGATGATGCCCCTGTGGAGGAAAACAGTGATTAAGCAATTAATAATGATATATGGGGGGGGGGGGGGGTGGGTGGATGGCCGAATGATTATCACGTGCGTGCTGTATCATAAGACCTGTCATTGAGTCAACTGGCGTGGTTTCGAATCCCCGGTTGGACGTGACAAGGAGTAGGGTCGCCTGTCCAACCTCGTGGGTTTTCTCCGGGTCCTCCGGTTTCCTCCCACTGCTAAAGACCCCTACGCGCAAGCGGATTATTGAAATAAAATTAAACCATATGTTAGTCTCGAAATGACCTAGTTTGTGTCGAGTGGACGTTAAACATCATTTCTCTCTCTCTCTCAATGATATATGATATAGTTGTTCTATTCATACTATTGTTTTTTGGATATATATATATATATGTCAGAATGAAGTAAAGTGGGGGAATACGTCCAGGTAAAAATAAAAAATTCTCCACTTTACTTCATTCTGACATACATTAAATCATATAAGCTAGCTGTCTGCGTTCTATGGACCTCTTCAGAAATTAATAATGTAATATATATACTGAGCGCCATGGAAAACGCATCACTTAGTTTTTCGTATAACAAAATGATCCTGTAAACATATCTTAGTTATTTTGCTTCTTATTGTAAACAATATTCAAATGGGAACACATCAATAACAACACATTTGTACACTTATGGATGTTTAGTATGTAATCAACGGAACAAAGTCAGAGGGGTCAAAAACCAAAAGTACGACACAGATGTCAGTAGCGCGAGTGTCCTCCACGGGCTCTTACGTACGCTGTGCAGCGACGTCGTATGGAATTTACCAATGTTTGAAAGAAAGCCTGGGGCAAATTGCTCCATTCTTGGACAAGAGCAGCTTCTAAAGCAGCAATGGTGCCGATACAGACGGCGTCCAATCTCATCCCAGACATGTTCTATCGGTGCCATGTCCGGAGACATGGCTGGCCAGTCCAAGACATTGATGTTGTTAGCAGCCAGGTAGTCCATACCAAAACGGGCGGTATGCGGACGTGCATTATCCTGTTGGAAGTGCTGAAATTGTGGGTGCGCTCGAAACATCGGAACAACAATTGGTTGCAAGACATCATCACGGTAGGCTACAGCATTAACGCAACCCCTGCAAATGTGCAGGGCGGTCCGGTGATGAAATGTGAAGCCTCCACACACCATTACACTTTCCCCACCCCCCCATCGATTCGTTTCGAAGACGCAGCAGTCTGCAAGACGTTCCCCAAGACGTCTCCACAAACGTTGACGGCCATCAGCGTGATAAAGATGAAAGCGACTCTCATCACTGAAGAGCACACTTTGTCAGTCTACTCTTCTCCATGTCTGGTGTCCTTGAGCCCATATCAAACGCCGCTGACGGTGATGATCCCTGAGGATAGCTCGAACATAAGGTCTCCGTGCACGGAGTCCTACTTCTCTTAGACGGCGTCTTACGGTGTTGGCACTTACTGGTCCTTGTCTTCCGACGACTGCTGCACCTGTTCGAGTCGCTGGGCGGAATCTGTCACGCAGATGAGTGACCCAGATATAGCGGTCTTGACGGTCACGTGTTGATCCAGTAACTCGAACACGTTCCACCAACCTTACAATAGTGGACTGATGACAATTGAAGTGTCTGGCAATAGCACGTGTAGACATGCCAGCCCTGGACATTCCCATGGCTTTATTCCGTTGATTTTCAGTAAGTCTCGGCATCTCTAGCTCGATTCCTTCACACGTCCAACAACAAATTACGACAGATTGACGTTTCACAGTTCATGTACTGCACATTAAGTTGAAAACATGCTTTTAAAGGGCTCACACACAATGCTGCACGTGAATATTGGGTTTTTCATGTGCATCTCGTGCAATTTTTTTTTTTGCACACGGGCCGATATTTTTTGCGTTTGGGATCATTGTGTGAAACAATAGTTCATAGTATTGCATAATATTATACATACAAAACCACCTAGTAATAAAATATTTGGGAAAAAAAAGTGATGCGTTTTCCATGGCGCTCAGATATATGCGAATCGTGTATTGTCGTTTCCATACTTTAATATATATAGAGATATCTACTGTAGAATGTATTGTTGGGTGATAAATCCGTAATGGCACTATTGTCTTTTGTCAGTGAATTATTTAAAAATATTAGTAAGCTACCTACCTACAGGTATAAGGGTGTAGCTACTTATCAGTATTAGCTGACATATACTACTACTGTTAAACTAATTGATAACACAGAAGATGTGGCCCCGAGTTCACAAAGCATTCTCAGACTCAAGTTAAGAATTTACTCATAATTGTTCGCCTTATTTTGACTAAATTATAGACCTTTATAAAACTGTTGTTGTTTTAATGTATCAAATACATCAATAAGAAACTATGTGCAAAGTTTTGTGTTTCTGTGAGTAAATTCTTAACTTGAGTCTGAGAATGCTTTGTGAACTTAGGGCCTGAGCAATACTTTGCCCGCTCTTTTACACCTTAATTAGTTTTATATCTTTATGAAAATACCTCTCCTTTTATTCTCCATATTCTTTAAATGTATCTTATTCTCACCCACTGTAAAAATATCTCTTTTTTATTCTCCATATTCTTTAAATGTATCTTATTCTCACCCACTGTAAAAATATCTCTCCTTTTATTCTCCATATTCTTTAAATGTATCTTATTCTCACCCACTGTAAAAATATCTCTTTTTTATTCTCCATATTCTTTCAAGGTATCTTGTTCTTACCCACTGTAAAGTCATCCCGGCAGCCTGATTAAAATATAGATCTATATTTCGGTTCTTTTTTTATGTATTTTCCATGGCCTACACTACATAAAGATCTGACCGGTTGTAGTGTAAGGTCGTGTCAGAGATAAAACGAGCGAATTTTGACCCTATGATGTCAGACATTAGATTAATCAATCAGCGTTTCTAGTGGGTTGCCCACAGTTCCGTGAACATCACGCCAAAAACTCGCCGTAAAAGACCGTTTCATTGGCTAATCCCTCACGTCATCCAGAACGCGGTTTATATTCCAACGCTTCCAGATCCTAGGGTGGTAAACGGACATTTTGAACTATAAAAAAACGTGTTGATTACTTTAAAATATCACCGCTAAAAATTTACATTGACATGTTATAGCTGGGGAATCGGGTGTATACCAGTATGCTGGGTTCCCGCTGTCGTGCGATGCGTACGATACGATTGTCTCTATCGAGTCCACGATCTGCTGCGTGCTACGACTGACCTCAATATATATATGATATATATATATATATATATATATATATGCATGATTTCAATCATAGCACGAATCGTGATAGCAAGAACCTAGCATTAAATGTTTCCTTATAATCGCACGACAAGATGCATCTTAAGACAGAAACGACGTTGTGACTAGTGTCGTATACAGTGCAGAGTATGATGTCTAACTGAAAATGTCACACGACGCTTGCACAAATGAAAAGATGTATTTTAAGACAACGCAGGGTATGATGTATCTTAAGACAGTAAATACGTGATGATGAGTGTCGTGTACAATGCAGGGTATAATGTATCTTCAGACAGTAAAGTAGAATCCCTGGTGAAATGTTGGAAAATATCACATGGCACTTGTTTTGAAAGGGATTGGGGGTGGGGTGGGGTGAGTCGAGTCGACTGGTGTAATGCATGCGTTTTAGGTCATAAGGTCTGTCACTGAGTCACGTGGTTTCGATCAAAAATGAACAATATGTAAGTCCTGAAATGACCTAGTTTGTGTCGAGTGGACGTTAGCCCCCCCCCCCCCCCCCCCCCCACACCCCCCCTCTCTCTCTCTCTCTGCCATACTGTTTTAGTCAAAGGGGATAATTATTCTAGCAGCTTGTCAAGGACAGAAATATATTCAGGTAAATTATATTATGGAACATTTTTTAAATTCAGTAGCAATAATCGTTTTAACAGCAAGTGGCTATTCAGAACTATTTATTAAGCATGACGTGCCGTGGCAGATCATGTTTGGTTTTTGATCATACCCTCCAACGCCAAATAGAAACTAACTACCCTTCGAAATAATACCTCTCTAAGTCGACAAATTCTAGCAGATTAACAACGGGGCAGGGTGGGACCCAGACGGACAAAGTGGACCAAGAAAGCACATTAAAACCACCTTTCGCATAACAGGACCAAAACACTTCGAAATCGTATTTGGTCATGTTGTGCAAGATCTTATTCGACATTCCAAAGTAAATGTTTTCATGATACAAGAATGGCGGATCATTGTCTTTCAGTGTAAATGGCCCCATTTGACCTTCGAGCCCGAATATCTCGAAAACGCCACTCGGCAAAGTATTCGGTGCGCAGAATTTTACTATAGAAAAGTTGGGTCTGGTTTTGTGACCATTTGATGGACACCCCACACACTAAGCCTCTCCTGACATTTAAAGCCGAGCTCTATCGTGAACGGAAAGGAATCCATAGCTGGCCCAAGATAATGTAAAACACAAAAACCTCGTAGCAGAGGCAGTATACTTAGATGCATATTCCCAATGGAATTCCTACTGTTCTGTTCCAGTTGGACTAATAAAGACAGATATACACCATACCGTGTACTATGAGAAAAAGTTTGCCCGGAGAGCAGCGCTACAATCTACCTTTATATCTCAGTCCAACGGCTAATGTGTACACAGGACCTCGGTTTTTCGTTACACGCGAACGACTATACGTTTCCCATAACCATGCTCTCCGTCCTACACCACTGACAAGGGGGAATCACGCTTGATGATCATGATGAATTGGCTTGGCCAAAACCTGGATGGAACACAGCCAATATAATAATATTGTAGAGCGTAATTCTTTCCAGTAAACTGCTCAAGAGCGCTAGTCATATATTTGCTTGAAAATTAATGTCTTTAGTTGTGATTTAAAAGTGTTCAATGTTTCGGATCTTTTGATGTCTATGGAAAGTC